TGTACCATTTTCGTAGCGCACGCGACGGGAACCCTTAAAGTCGAATATTTTTTCCGTTTTTCCATATTTTCCACAGTTCATAGGCTCATTGTCTCAGAGTGATTTTTTATAGCCTCAATAAATGCATTAACCAACACAAACAGATTTTTAAATTCGAACTAGTAATTCTTGAGTTTAGCGGATACAAACAAACAAAGCTTTATAATTTTTTGATATTATTACAAATGCAATTTACCCGTTGCAAATTGATCATGCTATTTTTATATAATCTGTGGAGTTGGAAAGATAAGAAGAAGAGGTCATTACCCTGCATTGTCGTTTGTGTTAATACAATAACGGTTAAGAGATTATTTTAACATGATCTAAAGATATCAAAACAATTATGATTATTCTAGCAGCGCGTAATTGTGTAGCTGTCATTATGGTCTAGTGGATCAGACTGTAGGTTTGAATCTTAGGTTGGACCAAATTTTAAAACAATTTCTAGTACCCACCGAGTTTGTTGCTAGTGGCTAGATGTTTTGCAGCAGTCCCACACTACTGCAAGACAAAACGTCCTTAATTTATATATTTTGCGTTTTAAACCGTTAAAAGTGTTTTATTTAAATATGGAGATTATTTAAATAAAACATTAACAGGTTCACTTTTGTATTAAGTGTCGACCTTTTATATCTTCTACATCGCTTTTACAGAAGTTAATTTAAAAATGCACCCCTTATCGAAACAAACCCCTGCCTTATCGATTACTTTCAAACTGACACAGTGAAGTAGTTTCGTCTCTTTCCTTCGCTTCTAATCTATACTGTTCTTTATGATCCATTGAACTTATGAAAGTAAAAAGATTGCCGTAGTTTTATAAACTTTTAACGGTTTTAAACGCGTAATATATTTAAGTACGTATTTACAATTTATATCCCTCCCTGAACACGGCTGCTACAAAGAATCCGAAACGTCGGGTCGTAGTTCATAAATAAGTATTTAACTATTCCGTAATTACTTAATAAACATTTCGCGTTTTAAACCGAGCTTTTATTTAAAAGTGGGCTACTAGCGTAAAATATAAGTCGATTTATCATGTTTGTGCGATTTTTCAAAGAGGTTTGTGGCATTTGCTTTGAGTTGCTATTAGTTAGGTTCGATTTGAACAGAATGCAATGACGTAATATGGTAAATAATTGAATACGCCTATTTAATAGAATTTTTCAAACGTGATTTAGATCGTCTAGTTTTCGGATAATAATCTTTATTATTAATTACAAAGTGACCTATTTTCTTATTACCGCGTCTTATCTTCCACTCGCAAGATTAAGAAGTCGCTTCTGTTTACATACCTTATCTTTAGTAAATGAACAGAGCAAACACAGGTTACGAAATTTGAAAAAAGGATGTATCTCAGACAGACTGGAATCAAACACCAAGGAAACGGACAGAACAAAATGGTTTTAATTGAAGGAAGTTGTAATTAAAACACCGTGTACCGTAAAACGGGGGTAGTACACATTTAAATAAAACACTTTAACTGTTTAAAATGCGATATATATCAGTTAAGCTTATTTGAAAATTATTTTAACTACGGCCCGAAGTCAGAAGTAAAAATAACTTTCAAATAAGTAACTAATATTATAATACCAGCTTGAGTTTAATGTTAACTAAATTTTAAGAACAAGAAAAATAACAGAAACAGAGGCTAGTTATAAATTGTCGCTTTTAAAACACTTAGTTGTACATTCACGGTAAATTACAGAGATTCTCATCTGTTCCGTACTGGAAATAATTGTATGGGAAGTGGGAAACAGATAAAAATGTTTTTGTCGTTATTTAAAAGCACAGATAAAGTAAAGTCAAGTGACAGTAATTATGTTTGACATTTAAAATGTCATTAATTTTTTTTGTCGTTTTTGATTTACGGGCGGTATGAAAATGCTTATCAATGTTGAAATTGACTGATTAAAATTTTGTTTTTTTTTTCATTTACACAACAATTTTATTATAACCTATGCCTCACTAACTGCATCTAACATAAGTAACTAAGGTTGAAAAATATATAATACTTCTTCTTCTGTCTGTACCTAGTTTAAGCGAGTTTCGGATGCTTCCGAACGTCAGGCCGTAGTTAAAATAATTTTCAAATAAGTTTAACTAATATCTATCGCGTTTTAAACCGTTAAAGTGTTTTATTTAAATCTCATCAAATTGGGTCTACTTCAAACATGAAACCTATATCATGAAATTCAATCACCAATAAGTGAATTCGTGAGGACGACGTATTGGCACGTTTTTGTTGACCTACTAACATATTTTCCAATATAATTTTAGTACTTGGAGATTCTTTTACTTTTATAACAGACGAATTAAAGACGACAAACTGTTAGAGTTAAATTGAAGAGCTCTACCAAGCAACGTTAGGGTGTTTTGTTAAGGTACTAAGTAATATATGTTTAAGTTCAAGTTAGTATGTTAACCCGAATAGTATATATTAAATAAAACTCTTTATAACGGTTCGAAACGCATAGTTTTATTGTTTAATTACCACTACAAACGTAAAAACGTCACAAGAACCCAACTGCTATAAAACATCCGAATAGCCGAGTACAAAATTAAGAAAAGCAATGTTATATATTTTGCGACTTAAACCGTATAATTTAACAGAGATATATTTTAATGAAATGGTAAAAAAATATTTTACTAATATATAACTTAGTTTGCGTTTTGAACCGTTAAAATTGTTTTATTTACTAAATACAGTTGGTTTATAACTTGTTTAAGATTTAAATGTAGATTTTCGCTATATACATAGTTTATAGGTGAGTTTTTTTTGTAAGATAAGTTGAGAATAGAAAATGATAGAGCTGCCATGATCATTAAATGATTTAAGGTCTAAGTGCAATAAAAGTTGTAACTTTACTTAAGTACTATATAACTTGGAAAATTACTTATCGCACAGTTTGATCGCTCCTTTACAGTAAATGCGAAAGTCGCCTCAAACTGACTTTGTCTCGTGGTCCGGTGGACAAGGATGTGAATATTTTATTGAGCCAGGTCTAAAGTAAACCAGTTTTTACATAAGCCTTTGTAACCGAAGCACATAACGTCCCGCTTAATTGTGACAAAAAAATAATAAGAATACCAAATACAACCTTGGAAAACATGGTCTGCGGCTTTAAAAAATTGATATTTTTTACAATAACACGGATAAGACAATTTACGTGGAAATTGCAGCTTATTAATAAGTGTTTAAAACGCGAAATATATACTTAAGTTTATTTATTTTTATTTAACTTAACTACGTCCCGACGTTTCAGATGTTTGTGCCGTGGTCACGAGGGCACTGAAGATGGAAGTGTTCCTAATATCAAACTCGAAAAGAAAACGTTGGATCGTAGTTAAATTTAAATATAAGTTAACTATTATATTTCGCGTTTTAAAACCGTTAAAAACTTTATATTTAGATGTGTACTGGCGTTAACTACGAACAACATCAGATGTATTTATCATTTTTAACTGATTTTTTGGAGAGAGCTTCGGTTTACTGGTATTTGCTTTTAGTTTCTTTTAGCTAGGTTCGATTCCCAAAACTTACTATTTAATCGCGTTATTGGCATGTCTTGTGTGTTTATAGGATCGCGTCCCAGCTATGGGATCCTTTAAAAGGCTTAATTATTATAGAGTATGCTTAGAACTTGTAAATATACTATAAAGAAGCCACGCGTACAATTTGTAGTAAATGTTTGTATTGTCACTAATTGAGTCATTAATATAAACAATACAGGTTCTAGCTGAGTCATAAATTAATGCAATGTTTACGAGCACCTTTCAAGGCAGTTCGAAAGAAATATGTCTGTATTACATATTTTCATTTAGGAAGTATTAAAACTATATCAAACATTTTATTGCGCAATCTCGTTTTTTATGTTTGTATACAGTCGTTAATAAAGTTAAAAGTTTTTTTTTATGCTAGACAAGCATTCACTTGACGGTAGATAAAACACCCCAGCCATGTAACATCTAAACAAGATGCGTGGTCGACCTATTTTCGCTTTGAATATTATGAAATCCACAGATTAAACTTGACGGCTTTTTCGTCTGTGGACGGTGGTTCGTGAGCCGGACGAAATTTATATCCAGATTTCCAGACGAAATATTACTTGTTTCAGAATAATTTTAAATTGATTAGAAACTACGGCGGAATGAAACTCGACCCGATTACAAGCCAAACATTGCTAACATTACTCCGCCAGTCTTGCGTACAGTAAAATAAAGTAACCTCAAAGCGCATGGTATACTTATAGGTAATAATTGATAGACATTGAAAGAGTGTCAAAATTAATTTACTTTCTTTAATTCACTAATCGAGAGAGGATTTTCACGTTTTTTATAAAACTATTAGCAACAATTAATATAATTATTAATAATGTATTTAACGAGGAAAGCATATGTTTTACAACCTTATAGTATTCTTATATGATATGTACTTGTGACATGTAAATATTTTTCACTTCCCTTATTTAACTGTTATTTTTTAAATGTGATAAAAAAACCCCTTTGTATAAACAAAGATCGCTGCGTCATTCAGTCGTGCATTTTATACAAAAGCTATTAATTGAATAGCTTAAATAAAACACTTTTGACGGTTAAAAACATAAAAAAAATTAAGTTAACTTATTTTTTAAATTTGTTAATTTCGTTGCCCTGACCATGCAAAGCATCGAAAAATAAGATAGCTAATTAGCATTTGAAACCGTTGAAAGTGTTTTGTTTGAAAGTGTAAGACTGTAACTGCAGAATTTCGTTTATTGTATTTTTTATGTCCTGTGAAATAAATGGTTCGAGTTTGAGATACTTACAAATAAGACAAAACATACACCTATAAATAGTTACAATAAGATAGACAAATGAATTACAAATAAGACAATTAGGAAGGATTTTGTAATACACATTGCATGCATTATAAAAAATACTACCGCATTTGACATGCGCACTGTGCGATCAGCTGATCTCACCTTTGAAGGCGCCGCGTCCGGCTGCATATAGTAGAAGAGAAAGAACATCCAGGCAGCGCCCAGAAGGAATAGAATTTTGAGGTTCCGCCTCATTTTTCACACAACACTATTCACACAGAACTACGCGACAGCGCGCGACCGCGCTTCGAGCGGTTAACTGGGGTACTGTCTTGTGCTACGGTCATGCGCATGCGCGTATCGGTCGTTCTGGCATGGATGCATGGATGCATTGGTGATAACCTGGTATCATAACAGAGGGATGTACATGAATGAAAGTGAAACTGCTGTGTTTAGCGGAAATATTGTGTCGGGTCTTGTAATTTGTAATAAATGGGAATATCGTTTTTTTAAGTAAAAAAATATTTAGTAACTAGAGGTACACTTATAAACGTCACACTGGTTTAAAACTAAGGAGTATAATTACATTTACCACCAGTTTCTATTAATTATTTCAAAAAATCAAGTTGCTGTGAGGTAGGTTTTATTGTCAGTATGCATTACTTTCGCTTATGTGATAAAATACATATTCATTTATTAATATTAGAAAAGTTTAATATTACAAATTAAAAGAACAGTACTCTATCGAAACATTAACTGAAAATGTTAATCTCTATGGACACTTTCGGCCTGTTAATTTTCAATATTTTGCCCATAACAAAAAGTTAAAGACAACGCTACTACAGAATTGATATTTGTACTAGGTAGTATATTGTATTCTTTACTTGGAACAATCTTAATGCGTTTAAGAAAATGTATAAAGGGTGAGAAAAAGGAAAAGGTTATCGTCAATAATTAAAATAAATAATAAAATTTATATTCGATTTCACAAATGTATGTTACTATTATTATATATAATTTTGTACAATTGCTGTAATAACAATGTTTATGCGAAAATGTAGTCAGTAGTAGTGTATACAAATGATGACGATATTTATAAAAATAATTGTTTAACGTACGTTCTTAGCCAAGATAAAACCAAAACACATTTTGATCATAACTATGATAAGCAGGTTACAAGTTTAATCAACACACCAAGCTGTTTAAAGAAGTCGTTGCTAATTTCTTTAATTGTTTATTCATACGTCAATTATCTGTTAATATCTTTCATTAAATAGACAAAACTCTACTTGGTAAAACGACCTCAAAATATATTAGCGCCATCACTATTTACATGTTCATATTGTGTTTGTACGAGCTATCTATAGCAAATATGTTAGTCTGGTTATTTAAAACTAGATGGCGCTTAAGTAAATGATTTTATTATATCTATGTAATATAATTTTATAAACAAATAATTATTGTTATTCTTATAATTGCATAAATATAGTATCAATTAGGGTTATGTTATTAAAAATTTAAATTTATGTAAAAAATTAAAAATTCGGGTCTTAAAATGCAATAATTGCATTTTACGATTATTTGTTATTAATTAAAAGTTTACGAATGTTATTATTAAAAAGTTTTTTGAAATAATAACGGGTCAAATCCCAAAAGGTGGTCAATGTTAAATTACTATAATTTGCATTTTAAATACATTAAACATTTAATATATGCTATTAACGCCTAAATATATAAAAATTATATAATAAAAATTAGTCACATTTTTTTACCTAAAAAATTTTATTAATAGTTGTTAATATAATAAAATTTAAAGAAACACAAACTTAGCTGCCGAGGAAAGAAGATGTACTTACTACTTATGTTAACTATGTTAAGTTTGAAAATTTTATAATATCGACTCAATAAAAACATAAACTTCGACATTTAAATAAATACTACTCGCTTAAAAACACGCACTATCCCAACGGCTATTTTTACTAACTTCTTTAAAATTTTCGCGACAAAAGCTTTTGTTAATCGTAGTATACTAAAGGACAAATCCTTATGTCTTAAGTGTCATAATATAATCGTTAATACAGAGCTTCATTTATTCCCGGTTCCCATGTTTTCCCGCCAGTTATCCAGACAGTGAAGTTATAAAAGTGGTACAGACTTTATAGTCCGCGCGCGTTCCCGGGGAGTGGACGTTTGTCCTACCGCTGGAAGTTAGTACGTTCGTCGTTCGATTTTCGCGGTTTCAAAAATGACTTTTCCTCCTGAATAAGTGTATGTAATTTTTCATTCATTGGGAAGACAGAGGAGGTAAATATATTTTTATGTTGATATTATTTATGGTGAAACATTGTCGGTAGATATAAAAAAAATCTTGTCCATTTTTTTATTTTCTGGAATGGTTAAGAAGTTATCTTGCACTGAACTAAGACTTTATCTTGAACTATATTTATTTTGCATTCAAATTCGTTTTCGCGAACTACATCTTCTTTATAAACTTGCTGTTACCCACGACGTCAGTTGCGTCCCTTCCCGTCATTCTTGCAAGTTAATCTTAAAAGATACTAGATAGATAATAGCGTCGCGGACGTTTTTTAGATCATTTAAAGAGGAATTATTCTTTTATACATATTTTTGGGTAACTTGAACCGTTTTTGCAGCGTAGCCATAATGATGAACAATTTTCCAATGTTTTTCACAATTTCCTTAAAAATTAGAATTGAAGAATTTTTCAAAATTCGAACCCGTAGTTCCTGAGATTTGCGCGTTCAAACAAACAAACTCTTCAGCTTTATATATTTGTATAAATTGCTTCAAATATAGGTTTTAGACATCCATTAAAGAATGTTTACATTAACTTATTATTATCTTAACTATTATATTGAGAATTCAGTATTAAATCACTATTTAAGTGGTAAAATAAAATATTAATGTATCTCGCTATCTCGCATATGAAAATTTAAATAGATTACAATTTAACACTTCGGAACTAATATTTCATAAAAAAGTTTCCTTTCAGAAATATAATTTGAAAGTCGTTGAAGAGCTGTTGAAATAATTATGGATGACCATAATAATTTCAACGTCTCTTCCACCATCAACTTTACCAGAACTATCATCGCCTATCTTTTAAAAATGATAAAATAAGTTTATGGTAGCTATAGATAGAGAGGTAGCTGGTAGATTAAAGAACAAACAATACCGATTTAAACCTATTATTTGCTGTCTATAGTTTACGCGAGTAGTACACATTTAAATAAAACACTTTAACGGTTTAAAACGCGATATATTAGTTAAACTTATTCGAAAATGATTTTTAACTTCGGCCCGACGTTTCGGATGCTTTGCAGTAGCCGTGTCTCCCGGTGACACACGGCAGCACCGTTTTAAACCGTTAAGGTGTTTTATTTAAACCTATTATTTGTTTAATAAATATTTAATTAATAGTAGTATATATTTCTATGTGAATGACCACAATGATAAATTGTGGTCATTTGACATCGTTAAACTGTCGGCATCTTACCAATTTTTCAATCAGGTATTGTCTCCTGACGCGAGTTTAAGATTTATTTCCCATTAAAAAAAACGCCACTGAAATTTTTGACTTCATAATATCAAATCAAAATCTGTCAATACAGTTTTCATTGTATTGTATGATACAAGAAACAGAAATAGTTCTGTGTCTGTTTCGGGAACTGAACCATTTTTTAAATAAAATTTACGTTACGTACGCAACTATTTAATTTAATAAATTAAAAATCGATTTTAAATTTAAAAAAAGGTAAGATACTGGCAGGACTTAAACTGGCATCTACAGAGCTCGTCATTTCCTAAACCATTGAGCTACCGTGTCCTACACGTCATCGTTGATTTTTTTCAACCGAAACTGTTTACTACGTTCAGGGATGTCTAAGAGTTTATATCTAGGATTTGTCATGTTTAACAAAGGAGTAACGGGGTTGAAAAATATATATATAGTACAAATGTATGTTATACAGTTTATTCTTTTAAAAAAAATTAAATAAATTAGATATTCTATCTATTTTATTAGCTCACCACTTTTGATACATATCGAGTAAAAAAGTTATTAACGAAAAACCTACTTCCTTATAATCAATTCGACATTAAAACAGAACTAACTTAGTACTTACATTTATATAAATTATCGCATTAAATACTATCTGTAGTTTACGCGAGTAGTACACATTTAAATAAAACAGTTTAACGGTTTAAAACGCGATATATATTAGTTAAACTTATTTGAAAATTTTATTACGGCCCGACGTTTAGGATGCTTTGCAGCGGCTGTTTAATTAATATAAATCGCGTTTTAAACCGTTAGAATGTTTTATATAATATTCAAATATTAATTAAACATTTTATTCAACATAAAGAACTCTCGTAACAGCGTTGTAATTTGACAATAACCCCTTCTATTGACTGAAAGTCTCAAAATCTAATAATGAGGGCTTAAAATTTAATCGCGATAAAAAAAAATCAATTTATCCCCCAAGTAGGTACATTGTGTGTATTAGAAGTCTGTTTAGATTTATATGTAGGGTGAGTGCATGTGACGGTAAAAAGGGATTATTACAGAGTACAAACTACTGTGTTTATAGATGAACCTGAGGTTTATGATAGAGAAGGAAACTGGTTTACTTGATGGAAGGTGAAATACCTCAGCCATACATCTTAACAAGATGTGTTGTCGACCTATTTTCGCTATTTTCGCATACTGAAACGCGATTAAACTTCACGGCTTTTTATCTGTGGACGGTGATGGCCCACGCGGACATTCGAAATTTGTTGTTTTATATTTTCTCATTTATTCATCTTGTCGTTGAAACACATTTATTTTTCCAAATAAATTAGGGGTACGTACCGTGGGTCATTGCGCAGTCACACTTCTGTGTCTGTTATATTTATTAATTTTATTAATTGTTTTGTTAGCAATGAAAAATTTTAAACATAAACTTTTATCCATTGAGTAAATAAGCTGTTAACTACTTACATATTAGCCTTTAGGATTCATAATTTTAACTATATCTTAAGAGCAACTAAAAAATTAGGATCTAAATCTGGAAAAACATAATACCTTCTAAGAACCTGAAAGACAATATGGGTGTCTCTGTAACGTGATTACTCTGTAACAAACAATGCCTGTTAGAAAAATCGATAAACAAAATATTCATTACCCTCTGTAGATATGCGGGTAAAAAATGTTGACCTTGAATCAATAAGTACAACCCCAACATCTACTG